TCATCACTTTGATATTAGTAGCATCCACTAATAAAGGGCATCACTGATTTTATACACTTGCAGATTTCTCTAAAAATATAAATAAGATAAACACCTCAAACATAAAATATATAAACATTTATTTTAGCAATAAACAGAATACTAGAAAAGCCTTGAAATCCATCCTTTTTACACAACTTATGAATCCAAAGAACTGACATCATATCAAAGAGACCTATGGCAAGATTTCACTTTGAAGACCTTCTAAAATAGGAGAGATATTTTTCTTTGTAATTTTAATCACTTTATTCTTTCTTTGGTGTTGGCTACCCTGCCTTATGGTAAAGCATAGTAAATTGAAATGATTGACGATTTGGCGGTAACGCATGGGAATGTGACATGTTGTCATTATTTATAAGCTTAAGTCTTTCTTCTCATATGACTCCATTCTAGCTAGTTCAGTGGGATCAAAACTATATCATAATATATTGGGAATGTTTGAAGTATTTAACAGTGTTCAGGTTAAGCCATTTTGCTTAAAAATCGGAATCATTAACCAAAAAGTTCCTTCTTTGAGAGTCTCCGCATTTCCTGAGTGATGCCACGTTTCCCAACACTCTGTAAGACTTATCACAAAACTGCCAAAGTTGACCGATTTCCAGGCCTTCAAAATGTTCAATTCCTGAGTCACTTTGGGTCACCTAGTAAAAATAAGAAGATAAACGTCTGAATTACTTAAATATCGGACTTAATTAGACAATACCCCACTAGAAAAGAAACTACAAACATGTTTTTGGAACTATTCCTGGACAGGTAACGATGACAGATCAGGATATCACAATTCAAATACGAAAAAATATACGTTTCAGAAAAAATACTCCAGTAAAGTTTCCTTTTTTGAAAAGATAAAAAGACAAAGAATGTATGAATAGTCTTGCTTTCCCCTACTTAGGATTCTAACCCTGTAAAAATGTCACACAAAAACACCGTAAAAACACGACGTGCGAAGGAAAACTCCGCCATCTTGTAAGAAACACAAACGCAATGCACCTTGGGAAGACATTCACTCCTCCTCTATCACGCTTCATGACACGATGACGTCATAGACCAAATCTCACACTCTGATTGTTTCTTGTGTTAGCTCTTGGTTACGTTCCCTACACATTAGTCAAGAGTAATTTTTCGCCCGAACAAAACCTGGCGCATCAGTTCAGCCTCGTCAGCCTCGCTTCTTTGCTCGGCTGACTCGTTGACAATAGTTGGTTTCTGCCAAAAACACGTTTCTGAGCAACTTACTTGTTTTTACGTGAAAGAATATTTTGGTAATGAAAAGTTAGTGGAAATTTAAATCCTAATGTTTTAAATTCATCTTTGACATACGTACTCGTTTTGCTTCTGTTTCATGAAGGGAATATACTACCCCGGACTCTGTGGACGACAAATTCGTTTTAAAAAGGCAATCAAGATTAGAAAGACAACTTCTTCTTTCAAATTAAATTCATCTTTCTGACATACTTGTTTTGCGTCTGAAGGAGGAGGTATTGTGCTGTCTATAACTGGCAAATTCGTTATAGACAGGAGAAACAACTATAATGCCTCCTAGCTATATAGAGAGGATATTACACGGTGGCTCGAAGATATGAATTTTATTTTCGAGTGGCAAAAGCCAAAACAATATTTTACGAACGAGCGCAGCGAGTGAGTAAAATATTGTTTTTGCCAAGAGAAAATAAAATTCAAATCTTCAAGCCTCTGTGTAATGTCCTTTTTATTACATAGACAAAAGGACATCGATAAAATAGTAGAGGGAAATGACCGAAATTACGTCATCGATAAACTCACGTGTGAGATTATAGAAAATAAACCACTCGGGTCCCGGATGTAGTTTTTATGAATTTTACGAGTGGTATATTTTCCACTAAAACACTCGTGTCTATATAATAAAATGCCGTAACTGAATGCCTCCTAGCTAGATTAGCTTTTCAGCTATTTTCTAGTTGGCTTGCTGTAGTATAATTGTCTTTTTTCCTCTCTTTTCTTCTGTGTGTGGTATAAAGTTAATCCAATCATTATAACGTAATTAAATTAATCTTTTTGAGGCTTTTCCTATCATGAAAATGAAAGATTAGGTCACTGGACGACATTTCGACAATAATTGTTTACTGGCATTACAAACGCGTGAAATCGGAATCTGCTCCTAGTATGGTTTACATTGTTTTTGAAGTCTGACCGTTTCTCATCAAAATTCTTTGATGTACGAAAATAGTTTTGTCAGTTAATAAAATAACCATGACAGATTCAATTTGATACATTTTGACAATAATAATGGTTTCTGCATAAAATACGTTAAATTGGATTCTGTTTACTTATTTACATGTTTTTTGAAGTCTGAGCGTTTCTTAGCAAAATATTTTTATGGATGCAGCTATTAGATCTGTTAGCAATGAAATAATCTCTCGTTATTATTAATATAGGTTAGAAAACAGGCACTTCTGGCACTTCCTTGCTCCAACTCACGTAAGTAAAACGTTAAACTAAATTTCTTAGTAACCATTGAGGTATATATCTTGTTTTAGCATGGTTGCAAACCTAAAATTAACAAAATGGCTCGGCTTTCCTTTTACATAAGTACAAAACAGATAATAATTCCGGACTGCGTCTGTGAACGTAATTTCTCGTTTGCGCTCGACACCTAAAATGCGAAGAGTTAGTGGTCGCTTATGTGAGGCTCAATATTCATTTAAGAACAGTAGGGTCTCTAGAGGAGAAGTCCGAAAACATCTTTTTGGAGAGAATGTATCGGAGGCGATTTTCAGGTTACAAAATATGTAATTCCATGTTGTTTCTGAACAACATGGATTGACAAGTTCTTCTCATACTTAAGTAGCGCAGCACATACAGCGAACCCAAAGATCAGACCATTGTATCAGGTGGTTGCTTATAGCAGAGGTTAAAAACATTGAAAAATTCTAAAACCGTCATCCTAAAAAGTGGCCGCAGTCGCTTACGAGAGGTGGTAAAAAGGTTTTTGGAAAGACACCGGGATAAGAAGCTGCTAAAACAGCAACCAAAAAAGCTCTTCAGACTGCTGCTGGTGGTCGTTTTTGTGAGGGTCCAACTGTAAGGCTAGTTTGTCTGGGGACATTTTGGGTGGCTAACACATTTTAATTTAATAACATTTAACTAGCAGCAGATGTCATGATGATGTCATTTATTATTAAAGAAGGATCTGGAACGGCATCCACCATCTTGGATGCGCTATTTTGAATTAATTAATTAATTGTATCCAATTCTTCCTAAACCTGTATACATCGAGATAATCGTGATAGAAAAAAATATCTGTTTATTTATAAAAGGATGCTTAGAAAGCAAGAAAGTCTGCAAGTTGCGCGCAAAGTTGAAAATTGAACCCAACATCTGCCGTTTCAGTCATTTTAAATTCATATTTTTTCCTTATATCTGTCCAAAACAGCCTGGATTAATATTAACAGTTATAATGAATTTGATAAAATATCCCTGAATTAAGTGTAATGCTGTAACGACGTTACGATGACTCAGATAATTCACAGATAATTTTTAGGAAATTTCGTTAAGTTTAGTGGTCATAGCTTAAATGGTTTTGAAGTTATTCAATTTTTAACGAGCTACTCTGAATAGAATTACCACCGTTTTCGTTGATACGCGACTTTCGAAAACAAAACACCCGCGGAAACGTTTCCAAAATTTCCGTCCATCATGCATGTTATCGACAGATCGGATCGAAATCCACCAATCACAACCACTAGTGTGACCTTCTGACCTTCTTTACGTCATGCTAGCGGGCTGTGATTGGTGGATTTCGATCCGATCTGTCGATAACATGCATGATTGACGGAAATTTTGGAAACGTTTCCGCGGGTGTTTTGTTTTCGAAAGTCGCGTATCAACGAAAACGGTGGTAACGACTCACCATTTTTCCTCGGTATGCACAGTTCGACTAACTACGATCTCGCCAAACGGGCGCAACAAAACTGTAAGGACTACTGTCTGTAAAGATAGTTATAAGCTTTTCTACCCGGCCGCCAGAATCAAAGACAATATGGCAACAACGGCAAATATAACCCAATTTAATTGCATGGCTTGCGATAAAAACACCTGCCTAAATGGTTTCAAAGATCGGCTATGTCATTCATGTCAAAACCAGCTTTGAGTGCAGATTTTGCTGTAGCTAGAGGTACAATTCCTGCAAGGCTAATATGCCCCCACCATCAATTCAACACTTTGGAAACCGTGCCTCGAGAAAAAAAGCGACAAACAGAATTGTTGCTAAGTTGAAGTCCTTTTTTTTTCAAATAAAATAACAATCAATATATAATTCCAAATGCTTATCGTTAGAAATAACTTTTCATTTAGAATGGCCCATATATTTAACGATTAAGTGCTTTTTAACTGTCGTAACTACCGCATCCTTTTCGAGATCGAAACCGGTTCGCCCAACATCCTGTAGCTTATAAATAAGAGCCTATTTGATACATCAACTTCATATCACACTTTAAGAATAATTTCTACTAAAAATGGCGTTGTTTATATTACACATCCATCCACATTCCAAAGATTGATTTATCAACTATTTGCATTTTCCTAGCTTGGCAGTTCCTGATATTCCTATTACATTGCTCAGTGACGGTAACGAATGTAAATGAAACAGATATATATCATTGAATTCTTTAAAGCACAATACCTGTCCTAGTCACTAATGGATCTCCTCTGTCAAAGGATTAGGATGTGATCGTAGCGCGAGCTGAGGGGTCTTCGTGAAAGCCAGTCAACACAACATAGCGACTAATGTGCCGTCTTGTACCCATGCCAGAAGCCCGGGGTGTTGAAAGCGCCTTAGCTCATCACTGTTTTAAAGAGTATTCCGTCACAAGAGAGCGTTCTGTAAATGTAACAGCCCTTGCATAATGGCGATATCAGCAAATGATAGCTTTTGCCTAAGGAATAATTCACTTGCAGGAACTTCGAGTTCAAGTGAAACTGAGATGCGTTTAAGCGATCGCGAGCTGGTAGTACTGACCTTTGAGGCTCTACTCGCCTTATTGGGAGTAATTGGAAACATTTCAGTGGTCATTGTCATAAGTCGCCTTGGAAAGAAAAAACAGCCAGTGGATTGCTACGTGCAAAATTTAGCCATTGCAGACCTTGGTATCCTGCTTATAGCGTTACCGCTCGTCATCATCAGAATTGCAATGCCTTCGACCTGGCCCTTTGGTCGGTTTGCCTGCCTCTACTTTTACCCTGTGGTGGAAATTTTCTACGGCGTATCTGTGTGGTGCATCGTGGTAATAGCCATTGAGCGCTATCAGAGAATAGTTTCATTGAAAATAATTGGCCAAAAGAGCCGGAACAAAACTTCTTTACAGAGAGCTAAGACTATTGCCGCCGGTGTTTGGGTGACATCTTTTCTAATATTCTGCCTTCCACTTTACTTTTTTATTGACTACGTTCACCTTCCAGGTGTAGGTACATTTTGCGGTCTGTTCAAGTGGGAAAAGTCCTTAGCGACAGGATATATGGTCTGTTTGACTCTGCTAACATATCTATTACCTCTTGCTGTAATATCATTTACTTACATATCTATATCGCGTGTGTTGAGACGGAGCAGTAATTTCGTCATAAGAATGAAAGAGGTTAACCTTGTGGCGATGTCACAGGTAGACAGACGTGTTTACCTAACACATGCAAAAAGCGCTCGCCTGAGACAAAACATCCGAGCGAAGAAAATTCTTAGTCCTCTTGTTTTGACATTTGCGGCTACAATGCTCCCTTTAAACGTCTTTCGTCTGACCATGCTGTTTTGGCCAGCATTCTCCGAGAAAGAATACTATATGCATCTTCTTAATTCAGTGGTAGTTTCCACGATAATCAACTCGGCGGCAAATCCTGTAATTTATTCGGTAGTTAGCAGAGACTTTCGTAAGGAGATAACAAGTTTATTGCACCACGATTTATGTCAATGGCCTTGTAAAATGGCTGGGAAAACCTAAATTGATTGTTCGCTGGCGCTTTGAACAGTAGTTATAGGTAAGTAGGTTGGTAGGTTGGTAGCTATCAAGCTATGCAGGCAGGCAGATGGGTAGGTAGGTAGGTAGGTAGCTAGGTTGGTAGGTAGCTAGGTTGGTGGGTAGGTAGGTTGATATGCACTAGGTAGGTAGGTAGGTAGGTAGGTAGGTAATACTTTCTTTAAATCACAAAACAAAACAAAAAAAAAACACGCCAGCATCAGGAAAAATTGGTTGGGTTTTATGTAGAGGCAAAAGATGACGGCTAATTGTCGAGAAACCAATATTACTGACATCTTACTTACAGAGGCAATATTAAACTAGATGTAAGATAATGATAGTGTTAAACAAAGACAGACAAAAAATACTATTGACAGATTGGCTTGACCCAACTTCGTTCAATTGTACTGTTTAAAAGAATGAACAGAGCGACTTGACTACCATTTGATTCTAGATCAAGCATTAAGCGTCGCTTTCACTACTAAAAACGTATTTGTGGAATTAAACTATCCCTTCAGTTTAGGATTCAGGAAGTGTCACATGAGATCTGTAGCCCTATTGGGGAGATGGGAGTTAACTTGAACAACAGTCCTCCTAATAACAAAAACTGATGTCCTAAGGCCTGGGGTGGTGAGGACATTTAGTATTTTAGTATTAGCATAGTGGCGTCTGGCATCAAGTGAATCCCATAAGAAACAAGTAGAATGATAAGGTGGGCGGGTATCATAGCTAGCACCTATGAACAGCAAGTGATTGAAATCTTTCAATATGCAATTTGCCACTGTTGTCCCATTAAGGGGCTTTGCCAGATTATGTTTCCATGCAACAAAATTCTTAGTATACCTCATGGCCTCCATGTTGCGCTAGTCTTCTTACAAATGATATAAAGTTTTTCATCTATCTGTGCAGCTAAGCACTCATAATGTGCTAGTTGTCAGGTTTATTTTTTAAAATATCTACCACAACGAATTGAAAACGTCCAGTTTCTATACGAAGAGCCAGTTAATAGCACACTGGACAAAAAAATGGATTTGCAAAACTTTGCTCCTCGCAAATATATAACAAAAATGGGAAACCTGAGCAGTAAATCTGGGGCAAAGATGGTAGTAAAATGCCACATTTGTACTAATATGAATTTACACGGGGATGTAAGGAGGCAAGTGTATCACTTACCATGTATTTTTCCCCCGGCGGATTTACCCCTCAGTTTGCACATTCTTGAAATATGTTTACCCAGAGCAAATCAGTGTGGAAATCCATTTTTTCGTCCATGTGCGTCGCGTAGAATTCCAGTCCATTTACGCGCGTCGACAAAAAATTTCCCGTCCGGGTGAGGGTCAGTATTTTGTCGTTTTTAGCCGTGACTCTTCTGAATGAAGCCTCCATGAGGTAAAAACAACAAAACGGTCAAAGAGTACTGGAAACAAGTTTGAAAAACAAAAAAGATGGCGGCCGAAACGCGGAGAAATTTTTTTGGCTTGAAGACTTTTTCTGGAAGTTTTCTGATGAATTCTATTGACTATTTTATTAACATCCAATCAATTTCATTTATATCAACTTGCTTTGAATTGAGAGACAAACTTATCTCCGGAATAATTAATCCTACTGATTGTTAGAAATAAGCAATGATTAATAAGTTTCAAATTATTTTAAATATTTAATTTACAAGGAATCAATGATTAATTTCAAGTAGCTTTTGCAATACTGTAATACTTTGTTATGGTCATGAAAATAAAGGTTATTGTTGTTGTTGTTGTTGTTGTCGTCTTCGCGCTGTCTACACCTTACGGGTTCAGGTCAAATTCAAAGGAAAACAAAAAACCCATTTTTTATCACAATCCTTGGTTTAAAATACTGCGGTGGTTTCAAACAGTACCATTTTAAAGGCAGACAAGAGATATCAGGATATCAGGTGGTACCTTTCGCGATTTCTGCAAACTTTGGTGGTAATCTTTCCGCGAAAGTCTACGCAGGTGAAAATCCATACAAAAATGGCGATTTTTTTGGTTGGTTTTTAGCGCGAAAAACCCAGTGAAATACGATAAGCTGGCAGTAATCGGAGGTAAGATCTTGAATTAAAATTAATATTTCGGTGGTACCCATTGAGATTTGGTTACGAGTAACTCACAATCAAAGTCGCTTCAGTCTTATTATTCCGCCATATTTTAAAGACCAAATCGTGCCTCGAATGCGGCTCTAGCCTGTTAAATTCCCAGATGTGACCGCGCATTCTACGCCATGCGTGAGTTTTGAATTAAAGGGGTCCAGTTGACATTTATTCCCTATAACCTAGTTAGGGAAAAACTGGGCAGAATCAGAGTTCAGCTGTACGGTGAGTTAGCTTACATCAAGAAGATACAGGCATGAGTAGTTGATCTTAGCTAATAATGAAAGCGAGTGTAAGAGGAGCTTCACTTGCGTTTCGAAATTCATGTATAATTACGTTATTGTTGTAGCCGGATACAGGGCAACATAGGAGCTAGCCTGCGTAGCTGGCGGTATTGTGTGGGTGCGAGATTAACGTGTTGGCGGCGGAGCCGTGTTCCAAAAAAAGGGAGTAGGGACAAGGCGGTTGAAATACCGCCTGCCAGAAACCTCGGTATTTTGAATAGTCGGCACACCAGTGTGCGGAGAAACGGATTGGTCGAGGGCCATACATATGTCAATCATGTTAGATGATCCTTCGCATATATTTCCCAATTAAGGGAGCAGATGGCAAACTGGAAAAGACATAAGTGATTGTGGTTTCCCCTTTAAAAAGAGCATAATTGATAACCAAATTGCCGAAATGGCGTCTTTAAACTTCACATCGCTGGAATTGTCTTTATTTAGCCGTAAGAAACAAAGTTCAAAGAAAATTAAAACACTTTACAACTGCATCTGCGATCAAATCCTATCAGGAACACCTTCAGAAGAATAAACCACAGGAAATGGTTACTCAGTATGCATGTAATTAATTTCGCGATGGAGACAAAAGTAAAAAAGTTAAACTGTCTTTCGTCATATTAAGGATTGAATAGATTTCCTCTGGGTCAAATTTCAGAGCTCTTGCGACTAAGAAAGGAAAGTTATTGCAATGTTAAACTGAAGTTTCCGGATACTGGGCAACATCCTGTAGCTTTGATTGCACATTTGGAATAGGGCCGCTTTTGCTTCGGCTTGTTTTCAACATCCTTTGGCTATTTGTTCTATCTGGCTGAACAGATAAATCGCGTGCCTTAAATTTTGTTTAGCCAAATATGTAGAGGTAATCAAGGGTAGGGTTTTTCAATTTTGGTCAAATCATCGATTTTGGCTATTTTGCCGCCATTTTGGTCAAAATAGGGTAACGATTTTTACACTGTAGTCTTGAATGCACTTTTTTAGAAGAAGCTTTTATCATGTCCCCCCTAACCTAATAAAAGCAGATAAACATTTTGGTCTGAACTTTATAAGGCAGGTCTGAAACAGGGTATTGATTTAAGGGTCAGGTCATAAATAGGGTATCAAAATAAATTTAGCCAAATAGTAGAAATAGAAATCAAGTTTTAAATCATTACTAAAAGATTACTATGCTTTTAAACTTTGTAAAACATTTTTTGTTATTTGTCTCACATCTTTGTCGATTACAAAATGATTTTAAAAACTGTTTTGAACCACGAAACGTCGATCCCTAGCCGAGAGTAGCGAGGATAAACGGCTGTATTCGCACGGCAGAAGTATGCGTAATAAAACCATGGCTCCAAGCAAAAATTAACTTTAACTCAACGGTTAGTGTTAAGTTGACACGATTTTATAACTTGTTGATTAAGATTCGGCTTATTGCCAGTTAATTTGCATAGCTTCGTTGAGGTTAACCCTTTAAGTCAAGTAAGAGTGACCAAAGTCAATTTTCTCCCAACAAAATCAATACATAATCAAGGGAAAATGTTGTTAGAATTAAGAAAATAATCACCTGATGGGAAAAGCTTTGATATACAAACAAATTCTCTTAACCAACTCTTCAAGGAAATGTATGGAGGTTAGTCTGGAGAATCTGTATTTGGATATTGTAGCTTAAAGGGTTAAGCTGAAATTTTCGTCGAGTCGCCATCTGCACTGAAGCAGGATGTACGGCAATGTTCCGTGGTCCGTAAGTGTGGACCTGTTGTTAGAAGAGAGCTTTTCTCACTGACACGTGTAGAAACACGTGTTCGCTACATCTGTGAAACGCCCTAGATTTCTCTACACGTGTCTGTTAGCGTCTCTCTTTTTTAAAAAACAAAACTTAATGAGTTCTTTCCTTTATTATTAACCCTTTCACTGCCAAATGTGGCCAAAGGCAAATTTCGACCAAATTTGCAAATTTCATTTTCTAAAATTTTGACAAACAAATAGCATCATGTGAAAGTACAGGTAGAGAGCTTACATTTGAATGGTCACATCATAGGATTTCGTCCATAGACTCAAAAGTTAGAGTCACCTTACAAAACTCCATTAAACACTCTGGCAGTGAAAGGGTTAATATTTGCTTGTAAACATAGGTTCTAAAAAATTCAAACAGTGTTTCAGATTATTTTTACACACATCGAAAAATGTTTTACAAACTAAAAAGCTCAACTATATTGATTCCAACATCGAGGCACCGAAGTCTCATATAACAACAGTACACAGTAAAAACTAACATCATTGAATAAATCATGTATGCAATAGGGATACCATTTTTAAAAGGAGTCAAATACGAAAGGGGCATATCAAGGGGGAAAAAATTTAGACCTCGCTGCCCAGCCCCCCAGCGTAGATCTTTTTTCAGTATCCCTGCAAATCATACACGGTTTCCCGGCGAAGATGACCCTCCACTTATATCTAGAGTCTCTTTATGATTGGGTTTATAGTCTAAGGTTACTTAGATAACCCACATTTTTTTGGACAGGTTTTTTTTTTGAGTGGTGATCGTCTTTTTAATGGAGTTGTTAACGGAAGCTTGCTGTTTTGCATGCGTCAAAGAGGAAGGCACGCAAGCCAAAATAAAGAAGAAAAAATGCATTAAAAACGCTTAAGCTTAAGTAAGCAAGCCAAAAGAAAACCATGCATGTCCATGGCTTACCAGAGGCTATGTACTTAAGTTTTCTATTTTGCCGATAAATCCGCAGGAAAAAATGTTTAATTGCATAGACTTAAACAAAAATACCATTTCATTCCTTGAATGCACATTATTCACCACTACAGAAACAGTCGGTCTCACCAAACGGCGCCACGAAACTGAGAGAACTACTGAATGAAAAATAACTTTTAGCTGTTCTTTCCTCTGGAACGCCGACACTGTTGCAACAAATATAACCTATACTTATTCAAGCCTTTGCGTCTTTCTTTGTAGATGGCTTGCAATGAATACACAATGCCCAAAAGGCTGCTATGATCGGCTACCGTAAATCTCGTCTTATAAGCCCTCCACCTATAAACGCCCCCCCCGTCCTCCCGTTATTGGCCCATCTCCCTTACAAAAAGAATATATTTACAGTTATAAGCCCTTTGGATGTAAGCCCCCTTCTGGCTATTGATATTAATATTGAATTTCTACGACGTTTTTTTTAAAAAGCGGGTAATTAAACTTCAAATTTAAAATATTTTCATCAGCACCCGCTGGTTTTGAAACGCTTTTTTAGTCCAGTTATACGACCATCCGGTTAGCTCTCCCAACCCCCTCCCTTCCCCCGTTGTATAAACTCAGGGCTTACTAGTAGTAGTTTACGCTATTGTATAAATGAAGCCATTTTGAATGCAGATGTTCTATGCAGTGGTATGTACATGTACAACTCCACCAGCAAGACTCATGCTTCATGGCATCAATTAAAACACTCTAGAATCCGCGCCTCGAAGACTACGTGACAAAGGTGAATTTGAAAGAGAATTGTTACTAAGCGAAGGTCGCTATATTGGGTTTTGAAGTGGTATTGCTAGCGCAGAGCCCATATGCTAGGTTAAAATCCTTTAGGTACTTAAGTTAACTAATACTGAACCTTCTAGTCCCACATGGTGCAGCCTATGAAGGCCAATGCTACTGTCTCATCATCTTAATATTACCGACAGATTTTTTATCCGGATAGTGGAATTGTAAAATACGGTCTGGGAACTGCCCTGCAGGACCGTACAATGGAGGAGTCTGTGGTACGGAACACTCCGGCCCACGCCAAAGAATGATGATGAAGATTATACGGTCAAAGCTTTTAAATTTGCATCAGTATTTGTCTCACTTGCGCACCTGCTCCTTCCTGAGGTTTAAATGGCATTGATCATGACCCGTGTCGAACTTGAATCATATCACTGAATTCTGAAATTTATAGCACAATATCCTTACCTAGTCACTAATGGATATCTTTCTGTAGGACGTTGTGGATGGGATCGTTAGGTTTGAGGTGTCTAAGTGGAAACCGTCAACACAATATAACTGCTAACGCGTGCTGCACCCATGCAAGAAGTTAAGAGAAAGATTGCTAAACCAACAGCTCTGTGTTAATATCTTCTTACTTCTTGGAAGCGCCTTAGCTCGACCTCAGTGAGTCATTTGTAAAGTAGTGACGGGAAGTCAATTTTTGTCAAGAGCTTCCTGTGGATTTTACAACACATACGCTCCCACATGATGGCACAATGCGCAAATGAAAGCTTTTGCCTAGGGAATAATTCACTCGAGGACGCCTCAGTGGCAAAGACGGAGATGTCTTTCGGCGGGACCCTAATGCTGTCCTTTGAGGCTCTAATTGTAATGTTGGGAGTTATTGGCAACATTTCAGTGGTCATTGTCATAAGTCGTCTGGGAAAGAAAAAACAGCCTGTGGATTACTACGTGCAAAATTTAGCCATAGCAGACCTTGGTATCCTGCTAATAGCTTTTCCCCTCGTCATCATCAGAATTGAAATGCCTTCGAACTGGCCCTTTGGCGAGTTTGCTTGCCTCTACTTTTACCCTATGGTGGAAATTTTCTATGGAGCGTCAGTGTGGTACATTGTGGTCATCGCATTTGAGCGCTATCAAAGAATGATTTCGATGAAAATACTTGGCCAAAACAGCAGGAACAAAACAACTTTTCAAAGAGCTAAAACTATCGCCACTCGTGTTTGGGCGATATCATTTTTGATATTCTGCCTTCCACTTTACTTTGTTGTTAAACACGTTCACCTTCCAGGTGGAGGTACATTTTGTGGCCCGGCCAAGTGGACTAGGTACTCAGCGATAGGATATATGGTCTGCTTAATTCTGCTTACATATCTCTTGCCTCTGGTTGTAATATCATTTACTTACGTATCTATATCGCGTGTGTTAAAGCGGAGCGATGACTTCATCAAAACTATGAAACAGGTACAACCGGTGCCAGTGTCAGAGAACAACAAACTTTTCCTAGCCCGCCATGCAAAAAGCATTCGCCTTAGACAAAACAACAGAGCGAAGAAAATTCTTACTCCTCTCGTTGTGACATTTGCTGTTACAATGCTTCCTGTAAACATGTTTCGTGTGACCTCAGTGGTTTGGCCAGCGTTCGAAGAGCAAGAATACTACGCATATCTAGTTCATACAATGATACTTCTGACTTTCATTAACTCGGCGGCAAACCCTATAATTTATTCGTTAATAAGCAAAGAATTTCGCAGGGGGATATATAGTTTATTCCACCAAAATCTATGTAAGTGGCCTTGTAAACTGGCTGGAATACTTAATTCGAACTCTCAATAGTGTTATTAGCATAACTATTACATCGAGCCCGTTTTGACGAGCTTTTAAACCAACGAATGTTTAAGCTGTGTAACCCACTTACACGAAACCGTACTGTTACAGTTACTGTACTGTTTAGACGACTCCGTACAAAAATTTGCCAGTGCCAACGTTGGAATAGCTATTTTGTCTTCTTTAATCAAAGGCGCGTAACTAACCTCTAGGATTTAACCGCACAAACTCTGCTCTGTTTAGAAGCGACGAGTAACGAGTAACGAGTAACGCGTAAAAGTGGAGCTGTACCCGTCAAAAGTTCTGACGTACATCTGATCTGGTCAAAAACTTGCACTTCCGTTCAAAAATTTGTCCGAACTTGTGTTAACGGGCTAGGTACATGTAGTTATGCTTAGAAGACAACTTATAGGTACGTAAGTACGTTCTTCAGTAGTTTGATTAACATGTTTTTTTATTATTTAGTTTTTGAGCTCCCGCCGCTTTTGTTAATGTTTACTGGCAGGTTATCATTTATCATTATCGTCATAATTAGCTCCATTTTGGAGCACTTTTTCCCGCGAAAGTGGATGCACTGTACCGTTCCGTATGCGTGCGAATCCATAGTACGACAATTACTAAAAGAAGAAGTAAATGCTATCAAAACATCAGAAATACTATTTTCTAGTCCTCTGTAAGACTTATTTGATAGTTAAAATTCGCGGGAATTCTGACTGGTCTATGAAAACGCTGCCACCTGGACACAAAGGAATTGCTCTCTCCCGAACATGGGCTCCCGCTTTAACTTAGTTTTAAGAAAAAAAAAAAAGGAAAATTGTAAAACTCTACTAGTAACAGTAAGGCCTTGAGGGTCGATATATAATAAAGCTATTACAAAAATATGTTCGTCTTGAATACGGGTCTCACATTTGTGTATTTCCTAAGTTCAAGGTTCATATAGCTAAGAAGAAAAGGGAGGCTGTGAAACGTATTCTGTTCGTTCCGTATAATGACACTTCCTTGAGTAGTTTTTCTTCCATTTCCTGGAGGTGATCTGGACTGACTTCAATGCAGTGTAATTGATTGCCTCATAATTTGGTTGGAAAAGAAAAAATGATGAGCAGAGACTAAGCATCCTAGGGACTGAAACTACTTGCAGGGAAGGCTGCGAGAAGACTAAAGGGGAACGACCAAGATGTAACCGACATGCAGGCGAATGTTGAAATTTGGCAAAATTGAAATTCTACAGCCTTACAAAAAGGAAAGAAGTAAAACACTTTGAGCTCAATTTGTTGTATGCCAGGCGATTATCGATAACAATCGTTAGTAGTCAATAGCAATCGAAGATTAATATCGACTTCCGATATCAATCGATAGAAATCGATCAAGAAAAAACTTGTGACTTGGATAAAAATCGATTTCCGATAAAAATCGACAATTATTGATTTATGTATTGTCATCGATTACTATTTATTATTATCGATAAAGACTTAAGTCATTCGTTAGAAGTTCAACAAAAGATGGCAGCGATCTGGAGGACTTCAATGCCCGTGTACTTACATGTACCGCATTAAATTGGATGTACAATCTGAGAGTGATTGCAAGGAAAGAAATACAAAATGCAACTGATGGAGCTGGATTGAGTGGAAATGTAATGCATTTTGAAGGAAGGAGTCTAAATACGCGATTAATATTCATCAAAATTTTCTGAGATGGATATTTTAATATATAAGCTCAAATAGCTCTCATTTTAATGAACTAAAAGTAAAATATTGTGTATATATTTGCGGTTCTTAAGTGCAACTAGAATTTTTGCAATTGTTGTTAGAGAATCTCGACGTTTTCAATTATGCCATAAGTTATTTTCATCAGTGGAAAGCAAAGTGGATACATGGTTAAAACAACATATCAATGGGTTTCTAAATATTATTACATAAACAGTTTTCTTGGCGATTTGGCTTCTCTTTCAATAATCAAATGACATTTTTCCGTAATAAACTATGGCACTGCAGTTGTATAAGAATGCTCAGCCATATTGATTCCGACATCGAGGCACCGAAGTCTCATATAAGAACAGTACACAACAAAAACTAACATCATTGAATAAATCATGTATGCAATAGGGATATCATTTTTAAAAGGAGTCAAATACGAAAGGGGCAAATCAAAGGGTAAAAATTTAGACCTCGCTGCCGAGCTCCCCAGTGTAGATCTTCGTTCAGTTTCCCTGCAAATTATGCACGGTTTCTCGGCGAAGATGACCCTCCACTTATATCTAGAGTCTCTTTATGATTGGTTTTATAGTCTAAGGTTATTTAGATAACCCACATTCTTTTTGACCGGTTTTTTGAGTGGTGATCGTCTTTTTAATGGAGTTGTTAACGGAAGCTTCCTGTTTTGCACACGTCACAAAGTTAAAGAGGCAGGCACGCAAGCCAAAATAAAGAAGAAAAAAAGCATTAAAAACGCTTACGCTTAAGTAAGCAAGCCAAAAGAAAACCGTGCATATCCATGGCTTACCAGAGGCTATGTACGTAAGTTTTCTATTTTGCTGATAAATCCGCAGGAAAAAATGTTTAATTGCATAGACTTAAACAAAAATACCATTTCATTCCTTGAATGCACATTATTCACCACTACAGAAACAGTCAGTCTGACCAAACGGCACCACGAAACTGAGAGAACTACTGAATGAAAAAATATACATGGGTTGCAATATACATGGCTTGCAATGAATACACAATGCCCAAAAGGTCGCTATGATCGGCTACCGTAAATCTCGTCTTATAAGCCCTCCACCTATAAACGCCCCCCCCCCTCCTTCCGTTATTGGCCCATCTCCCTTACAAAAAGAATATATTTACAGTTATAAGCCCTTTGGATGTAAGCCCCCTTCTGGCTATTGATATTAATTTTGAATTTCTAAGACGTTTTTTTTTTTAAAAAAGTGGGTAATTAAAATTCAAGTTTAAAATATTTTCATCAGCACCCGCTGGTTTTGAAACGCTTTTTTAGTCCAGTTATTAGACCACCCGGGTAGCCCCGCCCCCCACCCCATCTCCCCCCGTTTTATAAACTCAGGGCTTACTATTAGTAGTTTACGCTATTATATAAATGAAGCCACCTTGAATGCAGATGTTCTGTGCAGTGGTATGCACTGGTACTACTCCACCAGCAAGACTCATGCCCCCCTGGCATTATTTAAAACACTCTGGAATCCGCGCCTCGAAGACTACGTGACAAAGGTGAATTTG